AGTTACCTGGGTTCCCATTTGGGGTGCCTATTGTTGACCGCCACAGCCATTAGGCTTCACGAGTACACTCCTTGCCAAGGCGCCCCTACGGACTTGCCGCGCTGATCTTCAGCGCAAGGCCAATGGGACGAAAAGGCACCGGCGAGGCTTCGGCCGTGGTGGTGGCTGGGTGGGTGGTGGGTGGTGGTTGGGTTGGTCCGAGTGCGACAAGTGGACCTGTGACTGACTGGGGGTCCTGTGTCGACCGTCGGAAAAAGATTCAATGGATCCAGCAGATATCCAGCATCAAAGCATGCCCTGGGATTATTGAATGCGTGAGACAGGAGTGCCACACAAGAACGAGGAACGGCAAAAAGATCGATTCATGTGGGCAAACCACACATGTCTGCCTGGGCAACTGTCTCAACGAAACATGGTTGACCTGTCCGGGAAACATGGTTGACCTTGAGAAATAAAGCTGAGGCATTTGACTGCTTCACAAGGCACATCGCAGCACCGGAAACGATGGCGCGACGCTTAAAGCCGAAGACGCCATTTGTCGCATGAGCTGATCGTGAAACTCGCCGGCCAGCGTGTGTGTGCACTAACCTGCCACTCACAAATGCGAAATTCGTCCACTTGTGATGGAACGCTCTCGGCGAATCTCACTCCCCAAGGGAGTGACGTGAGAATATGCTGGCAGTTCATCTGGAGCCGATCCGACGAGGGAAACACCTGGCGCGCGAGCGGGTTTCTGGATCGACTGAAGACCTCCTAACGCCAACGGGCCGAAACCCAACTGAACAGCTGCAAAGACACCCAGCAAAACGCGGTGCCTGCATGATCTTCATCAAGGTATTCACGGCTTCTTCAGAGGAGGATCCCTCCGCCTGAAGGAGTGCAGCACGGTGCGAAGCAGAGGGCAAAAGACATCAAATCTCCAGTGGAAAACTTTGCATCTTACAAGTTGCCTTACATCCTACATGTCCTTCCCAAACACCCGGGCAGAACTGCAATGGCAACAACAAGTCCCTACTGCAAGTTTTCAGGACCAACGTTGAGCCCTGCAAAGGAAAAGCAACAAGAGAAAGGTTGGCCATAAGTGTCCCTACGGGAAGGTCAAGCCATTTACAGCCTGTCTTCTTGTGGCTAGATATCCCAGGAAAGTGGATCCCATCATTGGAGCCATGTATGGCTAGTCGTTCTTGGGGAAGCCAGAACATTCTTCCCCAAAGCACACGCAGGCAAAAAGTAAGCCTTTCAAATCAATGTCAACTTGGATTCATCCGGAGGACCCTGCTCGTTCCCCTCCAGTGGATCACTTCCCTACGAAAACGAAAGCTTACCGTTTACCCCTGAGGTGGAGACAAGCCAGAAACACTCACTGCCTGTCAGACTTCTCCCAACGGTTGGCGGCCCTTCTCGATTTCTCTTGGCTTCATATTTCCCGTTTGCATATACACACTAGACAGCGTATAGGGTGTCAGGGCGAGTTCGCCTTAATTCCCTCAACGGTTTGGTGTGGAAACAAAAAACATGTACTAAAAATGGCACCTTGGTACATGGAACCAAAGACTAAAACCTGCATAACCCTAGCTCTTCAATTTTGAGCCACACCCATATAGCAGTCGCTAACTCATAGCCTCTTCCAGCGGCGGCAGGTCATCCTCAGCCAGACGGCCACTCCCACTGCGCAGCTTCTGGGCTATTCTAAGACTAGCAGTCGGCTGTGAAACATGTCTAGGGAGCAGGTTGGGATGGGTATGCCCAAGCTCCCGGCGCCATCTCTGGGCCGCTTGCCTTGGTTGCCAAAGCACCAGCGCCAATGCACCTCTGGTGCTCGGTGATTGGAATGGTGGCCAGCCCCAAAAGGGTCACTCTGAAAACAATACTTGAATCCTTGGATGTCAACTGCGGTCCCCCATATTTCCAAGGACCTACGACCTATGCACGGATGGAACAATTGGGTCCAAGACATCCGACCAGGAGCCCGAGAACCGGAGCTATGGCCCAGGCCGAGGCTTCGAGCCAGGCACTGCTGAACCGTGGGGGGCGAAGGGTCGATCCTGGCGACAGCTGGCGCTCGCCGACAGGTGGTGGCGGCGGCGGCGGCGGCGGTGGTGGCGGCGCTGGTGGTGCTAAGCTCATCGTCAAGATCATGATTGTGATCTTCAGCATCGTTCATTCACCAAAATCGGCGAAAATGACAAAGGAAGGCTGCACGCCAAAAAGGAGCGGGCAAGCATGGAACCATCAAAGGCCGCTCTCCTTGCAAGCAAACATACTTTGTTGGCATCTCAGGAAGAAGTGGCAACCACAGAATGATGGTTGCACCTAGCAGCCCGTCGTATGAATGAATGAGAACGTATGCCTTGCCTGACTTGGTGTGCTTGGGATCTCAAGTTGGGGCTTGCCTTGGCCATTTCCCAGAATGGTTGTGGCAAACGCGTATGGTGGGTTGTGACAGATAGGCGCAAGGCAACAGCGCAACTGGCTGTGCAATCAGCGTAACGGAGGTTTTACAAGGCTGGTTTTGAAAGGATCCCCTGCAAATGTTCAAGAAATATCAAGGGCATACTCCCCTTCGCAAGGCTAGCATAGACTTCCGGTGGACCCTGTTCTGACTCGAATCAAGTCATTCTTGTTTTCTAGGCCCGCCACAAAAGTGCCCAATCTCTGGACCACAGGACAACTCGGAGCTGGAAACACAACCGAAGGCCAGAAGCCCGCCAGAGTCGCAGCATCAAATGCAGCACCGAGGCTGTGCAGCTCGCGGCAATCTGCGCGCTTTGCGGATCGAAGCGGTTGATCAATGTTCCGTTCCGCCCCCGGTTTTGATCAGGGGTGACTTCCCCATGAGTGAAACCTCATGTTTTCAGTGGTTTCCCCCAATGGTCATCCTATGTAAAGGACCCTTCGATCATGTGAGGCACCAGCCCTGGGCATCCGGTGCATACAGTACATGAAAATTACAGCCGTTCCCGGCAACTAATCGTCAAATAGAAAAGGCAAACTGAAAACAACGGAAACGGGAAACAAAAAGAGAAAGCCAGGGCCCTCCAAGAGAAGCCCAAGATTCTTCGCGCAGAACGCAACCGCAAAGGCCCTCTAGCCAATGCTACTCAAGGCCCTCAATCCAGCTGTTGGGTTGCTTGCTCCAAGGCAGACCTGTTGCGAGATCCATACAGGTCATCTTGACAGGAAAGCACTGCACCAGCTTCTCCAACCAGTGCACGTTCTGCCCGTCTTCAGTTGAGCGCTCAATTTGCGCCTCTTCCGCCTCGGTCAAGTCGACGACCTCGGGTTTGAGCTGCAAGTCAGAGGTGAGTTGCTGATGTGGTGCATGGAAGGGGTATCCCAGAATTGCTTGGATGTCTTCACCATGACATCTGGCCCACAGTGGAGTCAATCCACTAGCAAAACATTTTCTTACTCTCAAAACAAGAAGGCCCTCTCTTGAGGTGCTGAGTAGCCAAGCAGTGCTATGCGCTCTCACGAGCTGAGGGCTACGGCCCTGCGCCCGGAGCCGCTGGGCGGCTTCGAGAAGTCCAAGTGCCCCTGGCACGGGGGATTTCTCCAAAGGACCCAGTTGAAACACCCAAATGGTTGATTTCCCATTTGGTTTTGTCCCTTCGTTCTATTCTACCACCATGGCAAACGGGATTCGCACTGGAGAAGCCTTGGGTCTTTGGAATGCTTTTCATGGGTGTCGATCTGCCGAAGCTTTGGGCAAGTGGGCGGCAAAGGCAGCGGAAAAAACCCGCCACCATTCTGCTTTTGGGCTGGCAGCACCATGTCTAATTTCATAGGAACGGCCAGACCAGTCTCAAGGCAAAGCACATATAGCCCGTGAATGCCAAGTTATGATTCTTTGTTTTTTTCCTGGGCCCTGTCTTGGCTCGGACTTTCTGTTACACTCACCCCGTGCAAGATCAACGACGCAACCTGCTCCAACAAAAAAACGAGGCCAAGCTATGGACGATGTTCAACTTATTCCTTTCTGACACGCCATGGGCAAAGCACCTCGGTGTTTGGTGGGGTGTGGGAGTCGAGTCGTACCCAAACAAAATCTCCTCCACCGCGTCCAGCATGGTGCCAGTCAGCGCAGCCTTGCACGTACCGCAGCGGAGTGCTTGGAACTTGGAATCATTGCTCATTGCACTGATCCCACACCGGACATGTCAGAGGATACAATGAATATTGCCCGCACGTTTCACTAGCCTCACTCTTCGACTTTTCTCCAAGTCTCTGCTTGTGACTCTGGTATCTGGGCAGATGATTTGCCTCAATGAATGAACATAGCTTCATACTTGAAGCACGGCTTCGTTCTCGCTTTAGAACAAGCACACGTGATCTGCTGGCTTAGGCATTTGCCATATTTCGCATCCTCATTGGTGGGGATCCGTCACTGTCCGAGCCCGTTGCGACGCAGTCCGGCAACAGGGGCGCATCCTGAGGCACTCGGCCTTCTCACAACCCGATCCGCAGAAATCTTCGATACGCTTTCATTTACCCTCCCAACATTTCCAACATGGAACCTAACTGGAGCTCCTTGAATTTGTCCTCTTCAAGGGGCCTTCTGGAGAATTCCATGTTAGGTGGGAGAGTAAGCATAGTACGAGTAGTTCGCACCGGGGAAGCATGGCTGTGGGTCAAATATGCGTACCCAAAATAGAACCCTGATAAATGGAACCAAAGACTAAAACCTGCGGTCCCCTGGGTTTATTTTGACCCATGCCCACAAGGCAAAGCCAGGTCCTCTGCGCTCCAGTAGCCGGCCCTGGCCACGGCCTCGATGAGATTCCATCGCTCCGATTCGCACGCGGAGCCGAACTTTCAGCGCGGGACGCGCACGGCCTCGATGTGGGCGTCAAGGCCTCGGAGCGAGGGAGGCCGGGGCCGAACTTGGACCGGCAAAGCTTCAAACAAAAAGGTCGCTCACCAAAGATTCTTGCTTTGGAGCCACCTTGCCAAATCCTGGCTTTCCCCACTAGATCCCCCGGTGATAGGAGACCACCTCGATTTGAATTTGTCTTTGGTAACCCCTTGAAAACAACCCGAAAGAAGATTAGTCTAAATACAACGTACCAAAAACATGATATTGATTAAAGGGTGAAAGAACGGCAAACTCTCTTCATTCAAGAATAAACACAACACACCATGGTCACACACACGGTTGGGCTTTCGACCAAAACCGGAGCCAGCTGTCGCCCCATGTCCCCCTCCAATCGGATCGGGTTGCCGGGCTCTGGAGCTCTGCCAGGGCCCTGAGCGGGTGCTGCTGCAGAAACCTTGGGTCTCAGCGCGTTTTGGCCGCGCGGCGATGTGCGTCTTTGAGGGTAACCTCCCTCGGTTGGAACCGTGGAAGCGGACGTTCGCTCTTCTTTTTTTTTGGGGGGGGTTCCCCAAACGGAAAGTAGCCCCTTCCAACACGCGGAGTTGTCGGCTTCCATGCTTGGAAGGAGGATAGCCCTTTTTCGTGGTGTTGTTTAAAGGGAAACCAAAGGGGAAAAAAACAAATTATTTGGCGGGGGTCTGTTGGCACCCACAACCCCGCTGAACGGGTGTTGGATGAAACAAAGATGGCCGTTTTGAAGGGGGCAAAAATCTATGGAACATATCTCGTCTTCCTTTTGTTCTAGTCCACTGGAAAGCTAGCAGAAAGAATTCCAGTGGTTTCAATGGGCAACCTGATGCCCCCTGAATGCATCAACTGGTTCACTGGGAGGAAACATCAACCCTGTGGGCCTCCAGAGTGTGCAGCCTCCATGCAGGTTCATACTCAGGTAGCCCCTAGCTTCGCCAACGCGGACAACGGGCACATCTGGCCGCACATGCTGCCGAAGGCAAGGCGAGGCCTAAACTTTGTAGCATCTGGTTGATACGGGATTTGTACGCAAGCGGATGCAAATGCACCAGGGATCGTGCTGGGAAAAGCTTGACTGATGAGCATAAAGCAGCAGGAGAGAAAGTGCATAGGTTTCAGAAAGGAAGATATTGGTGACAAAATGGTGGGCCAAGCGGCACGATTTTGGTGATTGACTCTGCCTTTAAAAGTGCCAACTCCTTAACCTTTCACCGCTCCAACTTGTGCCTCTCAGCGGTCTTGCAGCTAACCGGGGGCAAGCCACATCTCATGCGCCATTCAGTGCCCTCGCATCCTGAAATGTCTGCTCGCATGTCTTTTCTGGGCTGCCCTCAGATCCCCTGCTAGAAGTTTAACTTTAGTGGGTTAAATGGAAATCCCCACGAATTCCTGAAAAGCTAAAACGCTAAGGAACCGGATGGCTGGGAACCACCAAGTTTTCTGAGGCTCCTCAAAGAGATCGCCGAGGGCGTCACCAGACAACCAGCTGGTAGGAGGACTCGAAGAGGACCGTCAAGGCCTGCACCGGGAGCCCCTTCGACTGGATTCAACTGGCGCAACATGTCACCTAGCTTGGCCTATGACACCCTGCAAGCTGAACTGTTTATACTGAGGAAGAAACAAAGAACATGGTCCAAAGGGTGAACCGACCAAGTAGGTTTAGTCAACGAAAGCATGTGTTGTGCTTGGACTCTCGCCGCTGAATGGCTTATATTCACAGCAAACTCAGCGCAAACACCTCCACCAGAACAAATCGTTCAAGCAGTAAGTCGTGGTTTCTCGACCCGGCATGGGTCATTCGCTTTCACATGCAGAGTTCGCGAGTCAGAGATCAGCGTGGAAACAAGTTCAGAGTTGCGAAAGCAAACAAAATGATGAGATTGAGCTTTGAGGCTTCTTCTGGTGCCACTCTCACGAGTCTTTGTACTGTAAGATTTGTTCGCCCTCGACCAGTTCATCTCCTTTCTGCCTTCATGCCAGTTGAGAACTCAGGCAACACGCACGCAAGCATGCAAGCTCATAGTATATCGCGTCATGCAGCATACGGTGCCCCTTACCAGCGATGTATATGGGTCTGTCTTTTTCAGGGGGACCCCCAAAATGGATTTCGGCTGTAGTCTGCAAAACCACAACAACGGCCACCCATATCATCTCCTCAAGTGGGCCCATGGCCGCCCCGCCTTCAGCAGTTTCCGGCTCAGCCGCTCATCCTGCGACAGAATCGGACCCATGATTGCTTTCCTCGGATACAATCCACCGATTTGTTCAGGGCAATGTCCGGGTCCGGGGCGCTCCATACCACAAGTGTATCGCTTGCCGCGTGAAGTGTTTTAGCAGACGTTCCGACAAGGAGACAAAGATGCTACGCTCTTCCAGTTGCGCTGGTGAATCGTAGGGAAACTTGCGCTTGAAAACTTCTTTCGTCTTGGGACTGGCCTCAAGCCCTTAAGCTTCTCCAGTGCAATCCAGCGCAATTCCAGCCTGTGTCAAGTCAAAACCGACTAAAATCAAGCTTGTCGGTCGCCCAGGGTCTCGAAATGTTGGATGAAGCGACTAGACCAAAAATCGCCAGCCCCGTAAACCGCTCAGCACGCCCTCGCCCTCCCGGTGACCGGCTGCCTTCATTGCAAACTTCTCGAAGGCGCTGGTGAACAGGTCGATGGCCTCCACTGGCTCAACATCTTCGCGAAACCCAACTCACTCCGTCCGTAGGTGATGTGTTTGGTGACTTCCCATCAGCCGTGATCGCCTCAATACTCAAAAACCCCAAATGGCCGTCAAGCCTCGGGACTTGAGTGCTTGCCTCCTGCTGCATCTCGGGATGATTACTCAGAGGATCTGCCACAATACCTGAGCTTTCGGGGATGAAGAGCCATGAATGGCGTGGCAAGCGCTGGGAGAGGCTGCGCAGGCCCAACGAGACGCTGGCTGTCGCAACCCACGAGAAGGATCTGCTTCACCTGCATCGCTTGAAGTCTCTGGTGGGTACCGATGTCCACCATTCTGGAGTGAATGGTGGACATCAGCTCATTCCATGGGCTACATCAACAAAATCCCAGGCTCGAAGCCGCGAAATCGCGCCTCCGCATAGTGCTTCATGCAGAAGAGGCAAATGTGCCCGTTGCGCTCGAACAGCGCTTGGAGCGTCTCGCAAGCCTCGATTCACAGCAGGATCTAGAGGGTGCCCAATTTGTCTCGTGTTGGAAAGGGCAACTAAGCAGTATTCGCAACGATATATGCAGAGTCATCACTGAGCCGCCCATCGTTGAGTTCAGCATCTTCTTGGAGCATCAAAAATTCATTGCCCCATCCCGTTGGGGCCCGCCTTCTGCACCAAGGCCGTAGGAGGCTGCCCCCGCCTTCAGCGCTGATCTCCGAGGGGTGGGTCCGGTAAACATGAAATGACCACTGGGGGCTTTTCCAGAAAAAAAAAAAGCCTGATCTTTCCCGCATGGGAAAAGTTTTCTGCAAGATGGATGAACCCCCCACGTGAGTCAGAATCAAAACCTGGCTCCCCCACAATGGTGGGCTTCCTCACGAAAAAAAGAAGAAGAAAAAAGAAAAAGGGGTCCAAAACAAAGGCACATCTTAAGGTGCATAGCCATGAAGGGGCCCGCCCATCTTTGTGCCCCGGCAGCTCCACGCCAGCGGCAGGCGCGTCAATCAGCTCAGCTAAGACATCCACCACACCTCGAGGGAGCGACGGGGACGTGCTCTGACGACACCGTGGACCCGGCCCAACGTCCCCAAACAAATGGCAGGGATCACGAACAAGTAATTGCCCATGTGAGCTCCAAGGGCGGGGGAACCGTGGCCCCACCCATACAGAGGGCGGGCTTGTACTGTTGCTCTGGACCCCAACCTCCCCCACCCATCCCACAGGCGGGGGGCTCGTACTCTCGCACTGTGCTACCTTTGTGACTGCATTGGAGGGGGGGGGGGGTCAAGGAAGACTGGAACATATATACACATTATATATATATATATATGTGTGTATATATATATATATATACATATATATATATATATATTTTACACATCTTCAGTGGCTCATTTAAGGAGCCCCTGTTTTTACAGGTTTCCGCCCGAGCTTTCCCGCCTGCAGAGGCCAGCCGCACCGGCGCCGCGCCCGGGTCCAGCACTTCGGGCGCCTATCAAAGGTCAGATCTGGGGCCCCAGCTTCGTCCCCAAACACCCAAGAGCCGACATCGAAGGATCAAAAAGCTACGTCGCTATGAACGCTTTGGCTGCCACAAGCCAGTTATCCCCGTGGTAACCTTTCTGACACCTCTAGCTGAATATTTCTCAGACCTATAGGATCACACCCCCTTAAACCCTTGAAAAAAAACTCAACTAGATGAATTGAGGGGTGTGTTTGGGGGGGGGAGGTGTCTTTGGGGGGTCCTGAGAACAGGTCTATGATTGAATGCTTAAGCCGCTGGGGTACACTGGACCGGGGTTGGTTTCCTCAAACCGTGGCTATGTGTCTTATTTTGGGGGGTCCCTCCAAGGTGGAGTTTTCGGTGCTTCGTTTGGTTTTCTGCAAAACACCACCAAAAAAATGGTGCCCAAAAAAAGGACACACCCAGCAGCAGTGTCTGTCCATTTCGAACCTCCGCGTTGAGTTTCAGATTCAGGTACAACAAGCGACTCGTTCCGGACCAGTGGGAAAGGGACACCGGTTCCTGCGAAGAACCCAAAACGGGGAAACCCGAACCCTCCAAAAATTAGGTTCCCCCTCGCTTTGCAGCAATGGGGCCTTCACATCATGAATTGGCATGGCTGTTGCAGCAAGTCGTTCATGCCACCTACCGAACAGGCCTGGCCAGTGTTACGGCTGTGATCTTTCCAGGAAGTCTTAAGAGTCTGAGTCAAGACAAAGTGGGAAAAACCCATTGTTCCCGCCACCTGGAACAAGGACGATATGTCTCCGAGGCCGTTCTCTTGGGAAAAGCACCTGGTTGGCTCAAAAAGAAATCGACCTCCCCCCCCAAAGACCCAAAGACGCAAAGACCCAAAGAAGTGGCTTCTCTTTCTCCCCTCAACCCGAAACAAAAAAACACCAAACGCCTCTTGTTTAAAAGGCTACCCCAAACGGAGAAAGAAAAAAAACGTAAGCCACTGACCGCAAGCCGAGGCCTTCGGGGCGGCCAGCTTGGTGCAGGACCAGTGGGACCTCCGGGCGGCGGCCGGGCATGGAATGGGTGCCTCGTCTTTGGTTTGAGGCCACCCCCTTCCGCCCTGTTGCGGTTGATTTGTTTTTGTTTTGCTTTTTTTCAGGTAGTGTCTTAAGCGTGCCCCCTCTTTGCTGGAAATGGAGGTGTGTCTTGCTTTGAGGGTATCCCTTTTTGGGTGTTGTGCAAGGCGAAGCAAAAGGAAACCACTCCGTTGGGAGGTCCAACCTTACAAAAACCACCCACATAGGCGCCCCCGGTTGGACAGCTCCAAGCTGAGACCATGAAACTCTTTGGGAGTTGGACTGCAGGGCACAATCTTGAACAAGCGGGCGGGCAGGGTGGCCCCCAGAATGGAAAACGAAACGCTGGGAGTAGGTACATTTATAGTGCGCTCCCGATCAAAGCCCATGATGTATGCTCCCTTTCGTGGATCGCACCTGGTGGTTCATCGATAAGTCTGAGGCGCCCGCAGCACATGCAAGCACACCTTGGGCTGGCACGAGAGTTCCTCCAGAGTTACATGGAATGTGGAATCTAGCGAGCCCCCTATGTCCCTCCCAAAATGAGCATGGACGGCTGGATATCGACCGAGCTCCCTCTGAAGCGGGTTTTGGTCCATGTTTCCATTTACCAGGGTTCCATTTTGGGTACATGTTTTTGACCTACAGCCTTTTGAGGTGTGTTTGGGGGGGGGGAAGAGGTGTCTTTGGGGTGTCCTGAGAAAAGGTCTTTGATTGAATGCTTAAGCCGCTGGGGTACGCTGGACCGGGGTTGGCTTCCTCAAAACCATGGCTTTGTGATTTTTGGCACACAGCCATATGGACCCACACAACAAAACCTGATGCAACCGCCCATTCTTTGCAAACAGTCGAGCTCGAGCTCTCCCATCCGGGCGCATGCCTCCAAGCAGTAGGCGATGTATGACCTAGGCCAGCTGGATTCTCATCTGCTGCTCTTCGCTGGTCGTGCCTCTAACATTCCGGTGTGCGCTCAGAGTGATCACAAGCAGTTAGATCGTTCCTATTTCTTTCTCTCTTTCTTTCTTTCTTTCTTTCTTTCCTTCCTTCCTTCCTTTCTTTATTGTTTTCTTTCTTGCTTGCTTGCTTGCTTTCTTTTCTCTTCTTTCTCTTCTTTCTCTTCTTTCTTTCTTTCTTTCTTTCTTTCTTGCTTGCTTGCTTGCTTGCTTGCTTGCTTGCTTGCTTGCTTGCTTGCTTGCTTGCTTGCTTGCTTGCTTGCTTGCTTTCTTTTCTCTTCTTTCTTTCTTTCCTTCTTTCCTTCCTTCCTTCCTTTCTTTCCTTCCTTTCTTTCTTTCTTTCTTTCTTGCTTGCTTGCTTGCTTGCTTTCTTTCTTTATTTCCTTCCTTCCTTCCTTCCTTCCTTCCTTCCTTCCTTCCTTCCTTCCTTCCTTCCGTTCCTTTATTTCTTTCCTTCCTTTCTTTCTTTCTTGCTTGCTTGCTTGGTTTCTTTTCTCTTCTTTCTTTCTTTCTTTATGTCCTTCCTTCCTTCCTTCCTTCCTTCCTTCCTTCCTTCCTTCCTTCCTTTCTTCCTTCCTTCCTTCCTTCCTTCCTTCCTTCCTTCCTTCCTTCCTTCCTTCCTCCTTCCTCCTTCCTCCTTCTTTCCTTCTTTCTTTCTTCTTTCTTGCTTGCTTGCTTGCGCTTGCTTTAATTTCTCTTCTTTCTTTCTTTCTTCCTTCCTTCCTTCCTTCCTTCCTTCCTTTCCTTCCTTCCTTCCTTTCCTTCCTTTCTTTCTTTCTTTCTTTCTGTCTTTCTGTCTTTCTTTCTTTCTTGCTTGCTTGCTTGCTTTCTTTTCTCTTCTTTCTTTCTTTCTTCCTTCCTTCCTTCCTTCCTTCCTTCCTTCCGTTTCCTTCCTTTCTTTCTTTCTTTCTTTATTTCTTGCTTGCTTGCTTGCTTGCTTGCTTGCTTGCTTGCTTTATTTTCTCTTCTTTCTTTCTTTCCTTCTTCCTTCCTTCCTTCCTTCCTTTCCTTCCTTCCTTCCTTCCTTCCTTCCGTTCCTTCCTTTCTTCCTTTCTTTCTTTCTTTCTTTCTTTCTTTCTTTCTTTCTTTCTTTCTTTCTTTCTTTCTTTCTTTCTTTCTTTCTTTCTTTCTTTCTTTCTCGCTCTCTCTCTCTCTCTCTCTGTGACATTCTGCGCCCCACACATGAAGCAGCCTGGCCGTGTGTGTGAGGCCCCATGGGGGATGTACTCTCTGTTGCTGGCTTGAAGACTGGGGTGTGCTGACTCCAAGTCATGATCGACGATTCAAGCTCACATCCATGCCATATGGCAGATGGCCACAAGAATCCCACAGAGTCAAGCGTGAGAGTCTGCGCTTCACGCCCTGAGCAGGACGCCAGCCATCCACTGGCAGTCGGTCGTCCCCGAATAGCTCAAATGCCACCTGCAGCCGGCTCTGCTGTGGAGGCCCGGCACATGCCGGGCTCAATTAGGTGGAAACATATCGAAAGCAGATGTTGTTTACAGTTTCATCAAGGACTTCCTAGGCTTCCTGAACCGAAAACTGGGAGAAGCTACGGCTGCTTCCTGAAAGCAAGACAGAAAGCCAATCCGGCCTCCACCTCGGGAGTTGTAGGCGCCCCTCCCTCGATCTCATAACCGCGGAGCAGCAACTGCGGGCGAGCGCAATCCAGAGCAAATGCCGGACTATCTGCTGGGATGGATATAGTTTATAGGAGTGCTTGCGGGAGTCGTATGGTCCTTTAGAGGGGTACCAGCCGAGGGGAAAAAGCCTCAAGTTGCAGTTCGCACACCAAAAGCTTCGCCTTCTGTAAATCCTCCCTGCCTGCAAGCACGCCACCATGACAGGAATGACGTTGTTCTCTGCATAGTTCACAGCCATCTGCAGCCTGGCTGCTTTCTGCTGTCGGATTGCCACCATCGCGAGAGGCTTGATTCTATGATTAGAAGCGGCTCCACTTTGAGCTTTATGCAAATCCTCTGTCTCAACCCAAGTTGAGTTAAATTCTTCAGAAACATAGCACGGCAAAAAACACACACACATATTTTCTACAGAGGAAGGCCGCAACGAACCCGAACCCTGCCAGCGAGAGCTTGGGTTAGGTGCCCACGCCTGAGCTGCGCATTGCTGTGAATCGTGGCCAAGGCCTAAGCTGAGAACTGAGCCAAGCTGACTCTTCCTGCATTCCGTTCGAATAATTACCCGCTTTTTGCCAGGTGTCCGCCATAACGTATAGTTGGCATTCAGGAGGCAGGTTCACATGCTGGAACTTGTGCCACTCATCCCAGGCCGAGTGGTTTGTACCGTGATTGACATCAGTTCACCCAACCTCCATGCCATCCAAAAGTGCCAAGCGCGGCCGTTTTCCCACTCACGTTCCCGGCTCAAAAATCTTCAGCGCTACTTTGAGATTCCTCACAATACTTCCATTTCCAGTTTGGGCGGAAGCTCCCACACATTGGAGGCCTTGCAGGACGTCCATCACGCTCACAGCCCACGAGAAAATGCAGGACCGTCAGACATGCCGATCGGGGCAGCCCACTTTGGTAGAGCCTCTTGACAATCAATGCAAGTTCCATGCTATCGGCCATGCGCCATGCTTGAAGAACCTCAAACATCTGACGATACACGTCGGCACGCTTTTGGATGTCTCTGCTCCAGTAATCCGGCTCACTGATGTGCTCTCTTACCGTATAATATATGCTGCAAAGCAAACTGTTTCTGCAGACTGACCCATCTGGCCTGCAAACGTCGAAGCTTCTGATTTGCAAGCCGCAAGCTCTAGCTTCACGCAGAATCGCCAAAATGAAGAAGGCCTGGGTTTCTCCCAGGAGCTCAGGATCCAAATTGTCCTGTCCACTGATGGCTTCCAACAACTCCTGCTGACAATCGCTGTTCAGAATCTCGGCGAGTTCAGCAGCCCGCCCTGCGGCCTTGATCGCATCGCAAAAAGCTGTCAGCTTCAGCATGGCGTTGCGGTAGTCTTGCTGTAGATCCCGGTCAGACCCGGTTCGAAACAGTTGAGCTTCTCTCAAAAGGTGTCGCAAGCCTTCGTGCAAAGGAACTCCCAACTTCACCATCAGTCTGATGCCTCTGCAACTGTTCTCGTCAAGCACTCGTCGATGCCTGAAATCACATTGGTTGTCATGATCCATGTACCCAAGCAAAAGTACCTCACGCAAGTCCAATGTCCAGTCTGAAGCCATGGCCTCAATCTCATCAAAGGCGTAAAAGCCATCCAGGTGGAAATTTAAATTGAAGCTTTCGTTGGGCTTGCCCTTGCATGCCAGATTGGCAAAGGCATCCGACAAGAAAGCAAACTTCCACGGCTCGTACTGCGTAGCCTTCTTTGTCCATGCAGGGATCTTCTGCTCTGACATCTGTGCTGGCTTCTCAACGTACACTATTCTGTCAACCGGCTTCTCAACGTGCACTATTCTATCGACCAGCTTCTCAACCTCAACGTATACCGGTCTATCAATGTAAACAAGCCTCTCTCGTGGGAGAAAGGCTCCGAGAAAGGCGAAGCAGCCGTCGCACATGTCGAAGGAATCCTCGCTGTTCCCCAACACCTAGCTCAAAAGGCGGTGCTTCGACTGAGCCTTGGATCTCACTGAAGGCCATGGACTGAGAATGAAAGACATATGTTGGCATGTGGCTAGGCTTCATTTGGAGGTTGACACCAATGCGAGAGCACAGGGGTGCTCTTGCAAAACAAGTTGTGATGCAACCCTTGGTGACAGCTGCACCTCGGTGAGAACTCCACAGAAGCAACTGCAGCCACTATGTGCCTGCCACTCCAAGCTGTCTATCCTGCTCCTTTGTCACTGCTACATCTCAATCGACTGCAAAGAGCATGCTCATGTTGCATGGAGGGAAATCGAAAGGATGCCGTTTTCGAGCTTCACGAAATGGCATGGTGTGCGAACAGGTCCAGTGAATATGGCCTCAGTTTATACGGCCCTGTGCCTACACTAGGGACCCTTTTGGAGGAAACCGCCCCAACAAAATAAACAAACAACCAGTTAAAAGGTTTATCAAATTGGACACTGTCTGTGTATATCCATGTGTCCACGTGTACATATGTAGCCATATATCGAGAGCGGGATATATGCATATACACATATCCATGTATCGATATATACCTACATATATATATATATATACATATATATATATATATACATATATATATATACGTATATATATATGATAGACATATAGTATCAATCATTCATTGACTCGGACTCCAAACTTGGCACCGGGCAATGCGCACTAAGACCTCGGACTCCTGGAACTCCTTGCCGCGGGTGAACGGGGGGTCTTTTGTCTGAGCCAGGTCAAAGCTCCGTTTTGGGATCATTACTCGTAGCTCATGGGAACAACAACCATATTAACAACCCAAAGTAATGTCCCCAAAGGCAATTAGCAACCATGATATTAAGAATTATGGATTGTAGTTCAGCATCCTGATGATAGTATCCATGAGCGCATAATGGTGCATATGCTAAGTTTTGTTCTGGTTCTGGATGATTCCAATGATTACCAGGTGGACCATCCCTATAAACTCGTTTTGACATTGGCACATATGTCAGTCTGAACCATCCTGAGCCCATGGGGGGAGTGCAACCAAAGGATCCCCACCAGGGACCTATGAATCCTCAAGTCACTAGGATCTATTCATGGGCCGCTTCACGTGTTGACACAAACTGCGTGCAAACAGTATGACTCGAAATCCAACATTGTTTTGCAGGTACCGGTGTAAAACCCTCAATGATGCTAAAGGTCGCCCTGAAGGAGCGTCGAGGTTGTGGCCGATTACTTGGCAGTCTCGGAGCAGTGGAGAGTATTCAGTATTCTGCTCAGTGAATTCAAGGGGAACACCACCTATTCCCGCGGTTCCCCTCACATGGAATCGTGCAATGGGGGGCGACCTGCCTTGTGGTTCCTGGGCTGCGGGACTGGACAATGACGTCAAACGGTGCTGGTTGCAGTATTTCCGGCAGCCTCCCCTTCAGGTAGGGCTTCCGGTCCCTAACCTGGGTCCCAAGCGCTCATCTTTCGAGCCACCGATCTTCCAACCTCCGAACATGGACAAAAAGGTGTCCTCGATCCGCGCCAGCAGCTTCTGCGGCGGCAGGCGCAGCATCACCCCCTGCAGCAGGAAGGCAGCCTCGCGAGCGCGAGAGACTCGCCCGAAGGAAGTTGCCCAAAGGAAACCCAAGGTTTAGGGGATCGCCCCCCGGCCCCTCCCCATAGCGCCCTTGGAGGTCCATGACCAATCCTATGCTCAAAACACGTTGGCCATTGTTTGGAGGACGCAAGGCCAATGGCTGAGGTCGGATCATTGAAGAGGCGTCCATTAAATAAAAGTCCATACTCCTTAAATGAGGCTCAAAATGCGTGGTCTCCCTTTGGCTTGCCTAAGACTCCCAAAGAGGATGTCTCCCCCCCCGGGAAGATTCTTCGACGGACGACTCGCCGAATGCTTGGACGGGAAAAAGCACTACCCGTCTCGAGCAGCAAATCCGAAGCGAAGCCTTCTTGGAATGGTCTTTGGGCTCAAGCCATTTCTTGCCACCATTGGCACACTGATCGGGCAAAACGTCATGTCTCGTGGAACTATCTCGCCCACAAATTCTCTGCTAAGCCATGTCCAGTGAGAAAGAAACCGGATGGAACTATGTAACAAAAGGCTTCTGCCAACCAGAATGGTTTACCCAAGCAACACCGTTGTGCCTTGAGCACGGAGCATGTGTTATCCTTCCTGGAGAAGGACAAGGCATTGTGGAAATTACAGTGGATCTCCTCAACACGAATACTGCAAGACAGAAAAGCAACACTTGTTGGAAATTGGGGCGAAATCGCCATCTCCCATTTTCAAATTCTGTGCGTGGGCCTTTGAAGCCCTGCAAAGACTTGATGTTCTTGCGACATAGTCGGCAAACAGTCGTTGTTCCAAACTTGAACGCATTGAAGGACGAACCAAGGAGTAGCTTTGACCCGGCCTGGCAGATACTAATCAATCGGGGCTTGTTAATCCGTCCAACTCAACCAAGTAAACCGCTTTGTGACACAATACCAAAAGGGGGTTGCCAAGTCTCTTAGCACTCAATGGGCAATTCCCAACATACTCCCCTGTAGACTAACATGGACCCAAAAAGCGGGTTCCCCGCAAGAGATTCCATGTGGCTGTGGCTCCAAAATGTGGAACCTGCGCAGCTCTGAAAACAATTGAGCCACACCCATGTGCAAAAAAAAAAGAAGATCCCAAAAAAACCACTCGGGCCAAGGCCTTCTTCAGCACCGCCAGCGAGCTGCACTTGCCGGGTTCCGGGTCCTCTTTCACAGCCGGAACCGTTCGACATAAAGACCCTCGAGGAAAATGGCCCACACCAGGACCGACCCCCGAACGTCGAACGGTTCGGTAGAAAAGGTGGGAGAACTCAGATGCCGCATGGCTCTTTGAGAAAAGCTGTCGAGGTCCGAAGCGCCGAAGACGAAATGGGTCACTCGGATTCGAGGAGTCCACCCTGATGTATTTCGGGGAGGTCCCATGGATTCGAGGGAACCCCATGCCGCTTCTTTTGCGAAGGGGATCGAAAAATATCCCCGAGTCAAAGTCCACCTCGAGTCAAAGTCTTCTCGATCCTCCAGGGTCTGGCGCTGGTGGAAAGCCCAGAGCGACATCACCTGGCAGCGAGCGTGGGCAAAAATGAGAGAGAGAGAGAGACCCTTCTGGAACCCTATCATGTTGTGTCGCCGGGGTCCCAAAGTTTGAAGCAGTCCAGGTTGGCAACCCATGTGGTTGAAACCAGGCACTCGGATTCTCCTTTGGGTCAAGCACTTTGCTAGGACATCGATCGATGTGAGACTCTTATCTTATATATTGTGGCCATCAAGAGATGGAGTATGGGCACGGACTGCAAGCTCCGCAACCGCAACCACAGCTTCGTTTCCGGAGGCGAATCCAAACCTGAAGCTGCCCTTGAGAGTATCACGTTCTCAGCCAGCAATTGCCAGGATGTATAAAGGGCCAAATTGAACTCCCTGTGCTGGCCTCGAGCATAGGCCTGCTCTATTCCTCTGACCATGGACCAGTCTGCAGTCTGCTTGGGGGGGGAAATAGATGGAAGGTTCAGCTCACCATAGCGCAGATGGGCCTGGCAGATGTCCAACGTCTTGCTGCAGGTATCAATCAGCAAAAAGGCTTCCACTGCTGGGTAGGTCTTTTCTGAAGCGCAGCTCCACGCCAAAGAGGATGACCTCACGGACTGTTGGGACCGGACAGAACGAGTCCTGCCTTTCCTTGAAAAGTGCGGCAGCTCGGATGTGGCATCGGGAATTCTTGACTCTGCATCTTCTCGAAAGGCAGCACGCATGCACGGTAGGATAGTTGCCTCCTTCAAATCTCCGTTGAAATCAGCTCAGCCAATCGTGGCTTCGGGATCCGACTCGAAGGATTTATCATTCAGAGAGGTGCTCACCAGGTGCTTCAGGCTCTGAGGCTCTCCCTGAATACTCAAGTGGCTGTCCAATAAGAGCTCGCCATCACGCGCACACACACACACACCCGGGAGCAGCCTGCGGAAACCAGCCAAGATGGAGTCAGCATGTGCACTCGATCTGAGAGCTGATACTAGATTCCAGAAAGATAGACACTGAGACCACAATTGCCAACTGAACGGCTTCGGAGACGAAGTCTATGTTGCTCCGCTGTGAGATAGCGATCGCGGAGTCATGCACTTGGGTGGGCGCGGTCAGCCTCGTGTTCACAGCCATGATGCCTTTCTCAGCGGATAGGCCAAAAACCATGCCGATGGGATGCAGACATACGGTGAAAACCATAATGACCAGCGATAATAATCAGACCGGGAAAAGGCGAGACATATCCAAAACTATTGCCAGGCATACGGCGACAATGTGCACTCCCAATATGCCACCACGAAGGACATCTCACGCCGGACGTCGTGTTCATGCCTCTTCAACCTGGCACTGAACCGAAGAGGTCTGGGTGCGTAGCTTCTGCTACAGCGGGCTGGTGGTCAACATGTCCGAAGTGGATGCAAAGAAATGCCGAAATGGCAACTCCCGCTGGCTCCATGGGGCAAACGGAAAATGCCGAGCTTCGAGATAGGTCGCAGTCTCTTGAGCCAATTGGGTCGAGCGCGGCAAAATATCATCAAACCTCCGGGTCAAATGGATCCCAAGTGTCATTCAGAGATGGCACCGGTCTCAAGCCTCGTGCAAAAAAAAAAACGCACCTTGCTGATCACGTCAAACTCTGACTCCAGCCGCCGGAAGGTGCCTCTCCTGTCACAAAAAAACACATGGCTGTGGGTCAAAACCAATGGTACCATTTTGGGGTAGGTGCACCACCCAATTTAGAACCTATTTTAGTGGGGATTGGGATGTTCACTGGGGGTACGAGATTTTGACCCATGCCCACATGTCTGGGTTACTTGAAATGAGGAGCGCAGTTGAACTTCTTTGAATGAGCTTCACTCGAAAAGCCATTGGCCATCAGATTTCGTTCCATCACATGTCCTTACATGGAACCCACACAAAGACAAAACATGTGCCAAAGCATCTCGCTACCGACACGTCTGTGGGATCATTGGCTCTGTCCTCTGCTGCTCAAGGCTTTGGAGCTCGTCCAGCACCTAGCGCGGCTGCCGTGGAATCCCTACATATTGCAAGTGAAGCAAACACAAACCACGAAAAGCCTGCAATTTCATACGGGAAAAGTTGCAAAGAACTGTGATTCCCTTGTTCGGGCAACCACTGGGCCCAATTTCTGCTCATTGCCAAACTGATCCAACAGGAAACCTGTGGTCCCCAGTCTTCAATCTCCCCCAGACAAATGGGCATGTGTCCAACATAGGGGAAGCCCCAAACCAGGTAGCCCCAAAAAAGGGTCGCTTTCGCCTCGATGCAGACGAAGGTGTCCCCCACGAAAGCATCGCTCAGTGCCCAGGAGCAGAGCTCCAAGTTCCCGCTGAACCTCAGAAGCGGTGGAGACTGTGGATGGACAAAAAATCATTTGCACCACGAAATGAAACCATTGAAACCTTAACGTTGGTTGCTATTTACAGGTCAACATGCTCTCACTACCGAGATATAGCGAAGAGAAGTTCCCTGCTTCCTCGAGCTCCACCCACACCGAACCCTCGCAGTAAGCGGGACGGTTCTCGCAAGCAGCCACAGGATTAGAGAGGGACAATCACCGACACACACTTGAACTCCAGATGGAGAGTGCTAATCTTTCGAGTACAACTGATGAGTTTCGAGTACAACTGATGAGTCTCGAGTATGGTGAGCTTCGACTCGCACATCACTCAGCTTCACTCTAGTTACTTGAACAGGGGCACACAAAGCAACGGCGGTTCAGGGAGGGGACCAAAAGGACCTTCAGAAACATCACTTCACAAAAGCAGTCCAGCACGCGGATGATCAGTCCGCGTTTCCCCCATGGTGGTTAGCTTCGTTGGCACAGGTCACCACCATGGGCCTGTGCCCCCTGCTGCGAAACCGAAAGGGTGGTGACAGGGCATTCTGTCACTCCGCACACACACGCCCCTCTACGAGGGGCGAAGTTTCTCTTTTCTCCTGCAGGAAGATCAAATGCTCACACTCAATTCTCTATCGTTGACCAAAAAATCCTCCACGGCGAGGGGAGCGAGACACCGCCCTGAACCGCTCAGAAGACGGGAACGAAAGATCACCACGTTGAGCATTGCGAGTGTCGCCATAGAGGACTGAAGCGATTTGCGAAGCAGCCGGGCGATCACCTTGAGAAAACGGAGTGGCATAGGTGAATGTCTCCTCAACTGGAACGGCATCGGAGTTTCGAACTCGACCAAGCGCCTGATCATGTGGATCGCGAGTCGTGAAGGACTCAATCCGAGACAAGATGCGCTGGTACCCTTGGTGTTGCCAGTCACGGATGTCCCATGCTTGGACTGGCGCATCGGGCTCAGTCACCCGCCTCCATTCACGAAACGAATTTTCAGGGACATCAGGCAAGGCGTCCCCGCGGTGCCATCGTTGAGGATGTCCTGGAGTGTATATCCGCACCCACTCCTGATCATGCCAGACTGAATATTCAAGCCATGGGTGCTGCTTCGAATCATCGATGTCCATGTCGAGGCAAGAGGCAAGAATTGTCGCGGGCTCCGATCCGGCTAGTAGATGAACAAGCACAATGCACAACCATGTTCAACCAACAGCCAAGCAAGATCATGCAAGTGTAAAGACCACCCTTATTTTGTACGCTGCGCTGCTCATGCGAGTCTAGTCTTCAGTGAGCTCGAAGACGGGACTCATCTTGTCTCGGCCACTGTCGGAAGGATTAACGGGCCGGTAGGGGTCGGAGACCCCAATCGTCTCCAATGATGTGCTTCCACGCGACGCACGTACTGGTTGATGAGGATGGGAAGCTAGGCGTGCGCGAGCTGTCAGTTGTTGAGAAATCCCTTCCTGGAGACGAGTCAGTTCTTCAGTAGAGAAATCAGCTGCATCTGAGGACCTGAGAATCGCGTCTAACAGTTCTGGCGACATACTCAATGCCGCAGACTGCGTGGCCACACTGTGATGATCGGAGGGATACCCTGAATCAAATTCATGACCAGCGTGAGGGGCAGCGATTCTCCGATAGCCCTCTGTGGCCCAGTCTCGTTTGTACCACATAGTGACTTGGGCCTGCTCTCCGACTGAGGCCTGGTTGGGTGCATAGAACTCCCTCCATTCTCTAAAAGTATGCGGAGGAGGTGGATCATCATGTTCTTCTTGCGGCGCCCACGGTCCCGGATGAAAGATCTTGACCCACTGGGCATCTGGTTGTTGAGGGTCCGGACACCATTCCAGCCACGCCATGACAACACAACCACGGAAAGACAAGTTGATAGGTGTACGGCTGCAGACAACAACAAGTGCAAGCAAGTCAACAATCATAATGCAAAAGACCACTTTTGTAACACTGTGCGTCGCCAGCATCATAGTCTGACTCTCCAGGGAGGCGAGGACGGGCATCAGCTATCAAGCGAATTAGATGATGCCGAGGAGGAAGTCATTCCAGCATACATGAGGTCCGGTGCACCCGAAGCGAAAACTGGCCTCGCTATGCTAGGATGTGGACGACCCAGGCGTTGATACCCCCTGGTGACCCAGTCCCTGTAATACCAAGTGTAGAAGGTGGCGTAAGATACCGGTTGCAGAACCGTGCCTGTGGTTGTGCCGCCCGTGCTTTCCCTGGGCCAGTACACTTCGAAGTGGTGGACCTTGCGCCATTCCCGATAGGTGGTCGAGTCATCCGGGGCCGGTCCCAGGGTGTCTGGGGCTACTGGATGCCACTGACCCGGAACATAGATTCGAATCCATTCCACACTCGTTCCTGCTCGACCATTAACGATGTCATAGTCAAAATAACGAGGTAGGACCCATCGTGCTGCACCCTGCACTGTACTATTGAACATTTCAACCCAACAAGCTGCTCAAAGTTAACACGGAAAGCGGCGGACACACTGAAACGACATGCACAGCACCAAGCAAGACAACCCAATGTGAGCACACATACAAAGCAAGCACAACCGCATCTTTGTCCAACATGCTACTCAAGAGTCAATCCGACTCATTCCAAGGATCATGGAATGGCGGCGGTGACGGTTCCCGCCACGCCCCATCCGGTACCGACGAGCCCACCGAGGACTCGACGTCTGCATTGACGAGCATCGCGAATCCGATGGATTGTACAGGAGGTCCAAGTCGTTGGTAACCTCGTGTTTGCCAGTCTCGGTACTCCCACACGTGGTAGGACACATAGGAACTGGGCGTGGCTATAGGATCCATTGTGGTTCCACCGGTGCTGTCTTCAGACCAGTACACTTGGAAGTGATATGATCTGCGCCACTCCCGATACGTGGAAGCGTACAGTGGGTCAGGAACAGGCGCCTCATCGGGAACGGGCCTCCAAATGCCCGGAGAGTAAATTCGAATCCATTCAACTCCTCTATCGATCTGGTACTCGAAATACTGGGGGTTCATAGCAGCAATACGGGCTTGCACGACTGTTGAACCAATCGAAGGTCTGCGGCAAGGAAACACATGCATTGCCAACCGCACATATACGCTGAAGAGTGAGGCAACTTTTCAAACACAAGGTGAAACGCAGCAACGAGGTCGGAAATGTCAGACTCCTATCTTTCACTGTCGTTGATGTCGCGCACACCTGCAATGATAGTGACCTGGCCGTCTACGAGCACAAGGGGAAAGACATTTCCGTCCATGGCGCAGGATGGCGTGACAGTAATGCTTGCACGCCGCCGAGGGGGATTGCGATGGACGGCCAGCACGTTTGGAATAAAACACTGTAAAGGGCCGTCGAGATCGCCGCGGCGCTGAAGCTGATGCTGTCCGAGATCGTTTGGACGAGCGCCCTGGACTGCGTGGTTCTTCATCACGGGAGGGGTCACTGCTGTGGATCGAGCGGCGTGTGCGCTGCGATTTCGAAGAGGTAGGGCAGGATTGTCCGCGAGGGGCTGAGATCGAGGGGCTGCGTACCGAGGGCATAAACTGTGGGTGAAGAATCACCGGTGGTGGTGGTGGTGGTGGAGGAGGAGGTGGAAGAAGCAATGGCAAACTTGGCGGGGGCGGAGGTGACGTAGTCAGCCGAATGGGTCTGTCGAGTAGAGCCCCGGGTCCATGAAATTGTAACCACGTCGGCTGCGCTCCATGGGTCCAGGTAATGTACGTCTGTACAACTTGTTCCGACATGATTTGAGCAACTCAGGCAAGACATCACTGCATGTCAACGACATCTCACAACACGACAAGCAAGAGTGAGTCACATGCGAGCAAGCAAATATCATGTGATCAACAACTCGAATCGGACACACCGCCGCTGCTTATCATTTGGTCCATCAATGGTCGTTGCTGCATTTGTCGGGCATGTTGCTAGCCGCGAGCTTCAAGTTGTTGATAGACCTTCCATGCCTGCTTGACTTCCTCAATCGGCTTCTGAAGAAACCGCGCAATGGTCTTATAGGTGGGCCTGGAATCTTTATCCTTCTTCCGTCTCACCATTTCATCCAGCTCACCCTGTGTCCGTGCCGTGAAAGGTTCACGGTACGCATTTCGAAGTGCAATGGTAAATTCTTGTAGAAGTTCTCGAGGACCATGGACCACCGTCGGCGACGGCCGGAACGACGAGGCACCTGGATGCGGACGTATCGAACCATCAGAATCCGAATCAGGTGTCGTAGGCGTCGTTTGTCCTGGCTCTCGTCCACCGCGTGTCGCGAAAGGAGCAAGGGGACGAGGAGGTGGTAGTCGATCCAACATCGATTCGGGCCGAGCTCCCGGATTGTGGTCACTGGCATCACGATGTGTCGCTCGAGGCGGGGACAAAGCCGGTATGTACCAGGTAGATGACGTGTCCAGCGGTCGAATTCGAATATGTGTGGGGGATCGAGATCTGTCAGATGAGGGGTGCTCCGTGATGATGCGGGGCCGCAACCCATGTCTGGAGTTTCGTGGTGCTCTTGGGGTCACCACCGTGTCAGTCGGACGACCACGCTCCGTCATCAAGGCAAAGTTCAGGGTGTCCAAAGCTGTCGCCACTTGGGATGCAAGGACATTGAGCACAGCCACCAGGTTATTCACAAACTCAGCTGACAACTGCATGGCAACCGATCAAACCACAAGGTCAACTCAAGCAAAGCTGCAAAGCGATAATGCTGCGGCATGACAGAGATAAGGTAAATGCAAGCATGAATGTAGCAAACGCTGACGTACTTTTGTCGCGGTTGCTCCGTCATCGTTCATAGGGCAGACCAGACGGTCTGCAAGCTGGCATGGCTTTAACTGCCGGTGGATACTTAGGAGTATAAGAATGACGGCGGACCACAGGAACTGCATCAACAGGACGGTCTGGGAGCCGTCGATGATGGCTGCGGGATCGTCTTCGGTGCGGCTCTCGATGCCTAGATCTTCGCCGTCGCCTGTGTT